CTTGCGGACCCTTCGGGTTCATTTTTATTTTCGTATACCTTTTTTGGGCATGTTAGCCTGTGACCACGGGAGGGAATCGACCCCGTCAACAAGTGTTAGACTAAGTACGGACAGAAGAAGGTACTAGGCAGAGAGAACGGAACGGTTTTTAATGGTGTCAGCCATCCGTTTGGTATAAGGTTAGTAGGTGCCTGTTTCGCTGTTGCTCCGGTAGACCGGAGCGTTGGAGGGGACCTGTCTATCTTCCCTTTTGTTTCCGTTCGCTCTCTTTCCCTCTCTCTTTCTTTTTTTTTTTTCTCTTCGCTCTTTCTGCTCTTTTTTCTTTGCATTTCGTTCTTTCATCCCTTTTCGACCGGGGTCAATCGTCTCAATTATCCCGGCTAGCCTGTTTTCCTTAGTTTTTTCTTTTTGTTTGGGAGGAGGAAACAAATCGCGCCTTGGAGAAATTTTTTTCTCGATTCCATTTTTTTTCTTACTGTAGAGGGTGTACCCCCCCTTTAGGGGAAGTTGACTTGTGACCACGGAAGGAAGGCGTCAGCGTCAGTTGGAGCAGTACGGACAGTAGAAGGTACTGAGCGGAGACCGGAACGGTTTCTAATGTGAAGACAACAACAACAACAACAATCCATGCCCCCGACAGACCGGAAACATCACATGCAGGCAATAAAAAAGGGCAAATATTCCGAGGCACGAACCCCTGACCTATTCTATCGGAGGGTCAGGGTTGTGGCCCTGCCACCCAGCGACTAGTTGATTGTCATTCAAAGCTAATGGTTTTAAACATCATGTACAGTAGATGCTCTGCTTTGGCAGGGGCACGAAACCGGCTAAAACCCAACGCTAACCCTACCCCTAACCCCAAACCCAACCCGACAGATGCTAGGTTGACGCTGGGTGGCTCAGTTGGTGAGCCAGGATTGGACCTATAGGTTGGTGTGGTGTTGACTGGGAAAATTTAGGCTGTTACTGCTTGGGTAGGTGCTAGATTGGCGTTGATGGGATAACCCTATTGTTGGTTGATATTGCCTGGATAGTTGCTAGGTTGGTCCTGACGTGGCTAGGTGGGCCTTGGAATAGGGCTAGGTCGCTCTTGGGTGGTGGTAAACGGTGTTCGTGCAGGTCTGTAAAAAGGTGGAACTGCCAAGTTGGGGGTGCATGACTTATGTGCGTACCCATGGGTGCATCGAATACTTTTCGCATGTTGTATATATTGCTGTATATGCATCGTCCAGGGTGGATTTTATCCTTCCCAGCGTTGTCACACAACATGGTCTACTGTAAGCTAATGCACTTGTAATCGGGACACAATGTACGACATGTTAACTTTGTCACTTTGTTTCGAAAGAAAACCAGAGACAGCAGCAGCACCACGACCAACCCAGCAAACACTCACAGCAGTTTCATGTGTTCGTTCGCCTACCGTCTTGGGATCTTGGCAGGAATTGGGAATGGACGAGCGTTAGTTGCACGCGAACCGCTCGAAAAAAGCACGCGTTCTGTTACACAGCTAAATCGCAATATCGATCACCCAGCGGGAGTAATGTCGCATCATCGTCGAGATCCCTTTATCGTATACAGCAGTTAGTTGTACTACTACTCCGTCCAATCGCAAACATCTGCCGGAAAAGGAATACCCGAGAGAAAGTAGCCAACCTCAGAACGGAGGGCTAATAATATAAGTCTACTGCGGCTAGGCAGCATGCTGCTCGCCGTCAGTCAGCGTGTTGAGACCATACCTGAACACGTAGGGTTTCGGGATCTATTTGTGTTGAATGTTCCTGCTGTTGTTACCGAGCCAGAGGTGATGATGGGAGAGGTGCGATGATGGTGGTTGGTGGTTTGTGCGTGTGTATTGCAAGTTTTGCCTGACCTATACGTATTGGTTCGTGACAATGACATGTAGATTGTTCCTAGAATGTTGCCCATGAATCGTTCAGGGGAGAAAACCACAGGTGGAGTGCTACAAAGGTATCTACCGATGTGTGCTTTTTCATTCGAAGTATGTGTGCATGTGGCAACGAATTGTCTGTTCTGTGTTGCGACAAATTCATCTGTTCTGTTTGGTTCTGTCTTGCAAGAAAAGTTCGCATTTTCCCCCTAACCTGTGCCCCTGACCGGGAGTGTTTCCGCCGGCATCATCATCTAACAACGTGCACTTGAGGTATTGACAGGCACGAAATGGCCGTACTCACCGAGGCCACCGGTGCCACGTACGTCCAATCGTTTGATCCCCCGCCCCAATCGATCTCTGCAATCCCCACACCGTCCGATTCATCACCGGCCAATTGATTCGCGACACTCAAAATTTCTTTGGGAAGAGTACATACATTCCATCTGACTGTCTGTCAACAGACTCATTTCTAGAGAGCAAGGACTTGGCAAGGATAATAAAGATGGGTTCGTTCGTTGACATCCAAAAAAAAGGGGGGGGGAGAGATATCACTTTTTTTGCTGCTCGGGAAATCGTAGAAAAACAGATGTTTCGTAGAGTTTGTATGGATTCATTGATCTACGTTCATACGATGCCGGTCGCCCCGGTGGTCTAGTTGGTATCCTCGACACCTTCTACAGGTCAGGTCAGGGGTTCGGTCCCCGGCGTAAGCGAGCTTTTCTTGCAAAGTGAGTTTTTCTCTCGCTTCCGCTCTTCTTGGCCTAGTGGATAGCGCTAGTAGTTCGTGTGTACACAGAGAGAAGAGAGTGCTGAACTCTTCTCGCATTAAAAATCGAAGGCAAAGTACCGCAGGAGGGGAGGGTAGAGAGGGGCTCTTCTGTGTGACCACGGGGTGGAGTAAACGGCAGGCACTAGCAGCGCTGTCGCTGTGAGCGCTGATTCTGATCGAAGACAAAAAAAAAAAATAATAATAAAACGATATCCTTATTACGACTCTTTTCTTCGATACTCTTTTCTTCGATAGAGATGGATTCGTTGGGTACTGACTGTCATTCATACTGACTGGTGAAAAAAAAAGAAAGACCAACTACCGGTTCGAGATGGCCACAGCACCACAGCGGATAATTACCGCGGCACCTTTGTTACTGCTGCCGCAACTGTTGTTGACAGCTTCATGCCATACACTACTCAAGTTTGAAGTTGCCGAGAATGTTCGCAAGATCACGGACAAAAAGTTCACCCCTTTGGACATCGAAGTGCGAGCCAGTCAGTCAAAGGGAAACAGAGCCAAGAGATTCTTCAACGCTTCTCAGCCCGCACAAGCTCCAACAGAATAACTCGCCTCGGTTGCCGTCAAGGTATACGATTGTATCCAATCTATCTATGTGATCCGCACATCCTCCTGTTCCCGTGTTCAGCTGGTCCTCGGCCTCGAGTTCTGCCTCCAACTCTTTCACCTTCCCGCCCAGCCCCCAGCACCTCCAACTGCATGCAATTCTCTTTCCTTGATGGCGCCGCTCTTCGATGTTGTCCTGCACCACCAACGCTTTGTCCGTGCCGTCTCCGGATAGCGTGCGACCTCAACCACTTGGATACAGCATCTGTGGCTCCTTTCTCCATGCACCTCCTCGTCGCTCAGCGGAATCGCTCATTTTCTCGGAAGTACGCTAAACGTCTGTGCTAGCTCATTGCCGACGGCAACCACTTCTGCATCACGGGGGTCAAGTAGCCAGATTTGAGGTCTGCCAGGGACAGACAGTCCTCGTTGAGGCCAAGGGCGTTCTGGTTATTGCTGTCTACAACTGTTAGGCACGCGCACCCCGCCATGGCCAAGTTCGTCACAAAACGCCGAGTTGCAGATGCATTTGCGTTTGCTCGGAGTATGTCAAACGATAGGCCTGACTCTATGTACGTCTAGACCTTGTTCGACGATGAGCAATTAATTGTGTCTCGCCGCATCTATGTATACATGTAGAGATTGTAGAGATGTGAGTATACATGTAGAGATTGTAGAGATGGATCATGGTGTTGTCATTATTACTCAAGAAAAAAAGAAAAGAGGGGAACTTGGTCGCGCCTTAAGACGCCGACCGAAGAGGGCACCGTTCGGTTGTGGCTTCAATCTGTCTGACGCGCTGGTGCCCAGGAGTGCTCACAGGCAGCTTCTTCATGCCATTTTCACGCTTGATGTCCGTTTGCGAAAAGCCAGCGTCAACAAAACTTCATTGAAGCAAAGTGTCAACAACAAAAAAGGATTCACTGCTTGGTAACCGTGTCCCCTCTTCTGCGCTGCTGCCGTACAAGCCTTTGTTGAAACCAACAAGCTGCAGCCATGTATGTAGAGAGACCCCTACACACGAAGTTTTAAACCGCTTTGCGGCACCGCCAGCTGCGTCACACTCAGGCCCAAAAACAAAATCAACAATTTGAAATATAAAAGTGCTTCTGAACCGCATCGCGACCCCGCGAGATGCGCTTCTTCTTAAATACTTGAAAATACACCCGACAAGACAATAATGAATTCCGCACCTTTCGTGTTCTTTTACTAAGATGCGTCAACGCGACACCAGATCACATGAGCAATCGAGATCGCTATATTCTGGCGGAAATGCGGCGCAGAATACGACCGCCCACAGACTAGATATGGTAAATGTAGTGCCGCGTGCACACACGAGCAGATCAAATCACCGCCGAAACAGGGCTAGCGGAACACTGCAAAGGACATTGCGAGTAGCAAATGGACACGCGAACGAACAAGACCGCTTTGTAGGAGGCGGAAGCATCAAATCGCGGGCAGTCCACTTCTCTAGTGCGTGCACCAAATAAGACCCAGAGGAAGGCTCGACACGCCATATCAAAAGGACGCGGAAGGCGAAAGACAAAACCCCAACAGCAATACACCGGCCGACATAGAAACAACCGAGTGACAAAGAGAATACAAGCGCGGTCCATGTCCATGACAAAACACACGCACACACGCTCCATTGGCACGCAAACTGAGTGGCTTTGACAAAAAAAACAGTGGAGCTTGTCACATAACCGCCGTCATCCAATCCTCGTGCCCCTCATCAAATACATGCTTTGCATGCCATGCCTGTCGCTTCTGGTTCAAGGCTCGCAGGGGCCACATATACACATGTCTGGTTCTGAAAGGATCCCACGCATGACTAAATGGTGACTAAACAGCTACCGACCTGTTGGTAGCAGTCTCTCGAACTCGGTGATCTCTTGTGTACAAAAATTCGGCTCCCCCACCCCGGACTTCACCCCTCTCACCCATATACAAAATGCACATTCGACGGCGTTCTTTAAAAGCCCCCCTCCGCCCCCTAGCGGAGCCTTCTACACACAACGGGTTCTTAAGCTCTGCCCGCCCCCCTCACTACAAACTGTGAATATGGAGTCCCAAAGCTCCGACCCATGAATACAGCAATACCAACCATCCTTGGATTATCCCCTTCCATGAGGCCAGGAGTAGAGGATGACCACCCGCCCGAAAAACACCCCGTGTTCTCTCATTCGAAACACATTTTTCAAATCATCCATTGACTTCCAGCGCCACACGCCCGTCCCTCCTCCATGCACCAAAACAATGGCCATTCATGGCTGCTACGCCCCCATCCGCAAAACAAACGCACCTTCAGCTGGAATATGGTTCTCAAAAAAGAAAAAAAAAAACATGTTTTGTTCCCTGCATTTCGCTCAGGCACGGAGCTCCGCCATCATGCTGCGTCGTTGCCGGTGTAGTTATTGTTGGGCAAGTGTTGGCCCCACCGTCTTGTGTCCTGGCCCGTGATGCCGCTACGCACTGCGTTGTTGTTATTGCTGCTGCCGGCGGGGTCCAAGTAGCCGGATGTGGACATGATGTCGGTCTTGCATAGCGGGCACCAGCCATGGTTTTCTCCGTCAAGCCACTCGTCGATGCACTGTTTTTCCCGAGTGTATGCATACCACACCGTGGTATATTCCGCAGCATGAGGAAGCGAAGTAGAAGCATGCGCGTGGTGTACCGGACGGAGTACCAGCGTGCACATCGTGTACCGGAGGAAGTAGCAGCATGTCCGTTTGTGTACCAGAAGCAGTGGTAGCAGCAGTGGCAGCGGAAGCAGCAGCAGCAGCAGCCACCGCAGCAGAAGTGGTGGCAAAAGTACGTCGCGACGGGTAGGGAGAGCTCAGCGACCGAGACAAAGCCGTCAGTGAGTGCCAACGACAGAGACGGCGGTAACGCAGGGTAGGCGAGGGAGGCATCCGAACGGTTGGCGACTTTTCAGACAAAGGCATGTGAGCGTCAAGATTCACCCTCTAACAACTTCCGTGACAAGCGAAACGCGGTGCGACCAACCAGTACGCTCCCCACCTCGCCGTGAACAAAAAAATACCGCGAGACAAATACCAGGGCTTGACTGACGACCGCAACAACAGAAACGGAGAGGTGCAACGCTGTTGCGGCTGCCGACACACGCGCTACAATGGTTACCTCGATATGAAAAACATTTCTGGCGAATATCTTAAACCTCTCTCCTCCTTCCTTCGCCAAAAGCAGGCGAACCTCCGAGGTCGCACGCAAACATGGAGCAATATTACCGTCGCCGCTGCCATCGTACCTTTGCGTGATACAAGTGGCCACACCGCAGCCGGCACAGCTCTTCCCCGTAGGTGTAGTCGCCGAAGCACACGATGCACGACCCCCCCGTCGACCCCTCGCCCTTGGCCTCTTCGCCCTGCACCCCTCCTGCAGCAAAAGCACCCCGGAAAAAAAAAACTCAAAACAATAATTACGGTAACTGAAACGCACAGGAGAGAAAAACCCCGCACGCATGGACACAGTGTACAATACAAGATTTCTTGGAGAAAACCTGCATGGACACTCAGCCAAAGCTTGTGGTAGCATGTCATGCTTTTTTTACCTCTCCCGTTTTGCACGAGACTTCCCTGTGTATTACCCGTTACATACACGTGGAATACTTCCACAACACGAACCAGTGGGGAAAAAAGACGTTCTTCTGCGCAACCCTCGCTCCATACATTTATTCAGTGGGAAAATCTACAGGGAATATATAGGTTATAGTGTTAAGTACGGTTCCTAGTTCTTATACGTTGTGAAAATCCAACCCTCAAAGTAGTATTTCCCAAATTTTCAATCGGTGCCGCATTCGTTATTTTGGCTTGGTTGGTGGATAGGCCAATCATCACATTATAGGCTTGGCTACGCTCGCCGCATGTGCTTATTTCTTTTCTTGTTTCGTAGATACCGCTGTGGGTTTTCTTCACCCACAAGCGAACCTTTCACACGATGAATCCCCACCGAACGCTCTCTCTCCGCTACCCTTGTCTCGCACATTTTTCTACCACGTTTTTTCGAAACGAAACAAAACTCCGGTGTACTGTGTGCCCTTCCTCCTGTATCTGTATGCCCCCGGCTGGTGTGTCCACAAAATTGTGCCGAAAGACGTCCACACAAACAAATGAACGACAAGACAAAAAAAAAAAAAATGTTTCCCATCGGAAGAGACCAGACCAAACGGGCCACCTTTCGCGTCGGTCCTCGGACAAGAAGGCCCTTCATCTCCTGCCTTCTCGCCAGCGGACGCCTCAGCCACGACGACATCCGTCTCGCTTCCTGCTGCCGGCCCAGCCGCTGCCGCGTCTCTAATCTCTCCCCCGGCGGGCCTGTTCGTACAGCTGTCGGTGGCGGGTTCGGCGTCGCTGGCAAGCGCCGCAGCAGCTGCTGCTAACCCTTCCTGCAGGGTCATCGGGGTCGCGCAGCAGAAAGAGCAGCAACCGCCACCAAGATGTAACAAAAGTGGAGGGAAGCGAGAGTGTGCAGCCGGCGGCGCCACTGACAGCGGGAAGAACGGCCAACGGAACGCGGTGGCGCCAGGGGAGGGGGTTCCGCCCGATATCATCATACGTTGCTTCTGAAGGGGGGGGGAGGGGGTCGAGCGTCAACGGCGTGAACCACGGGGTGGGAACGAAGCTGTATGCTGCACTACTCGAGGAAGGAACCAAGCTCCGATGCTGAAGCAGACAACGCACGCATCCAAAACACCACGTACCTGCCCTTTGTCTACCAAAATGATCCGTCTTCCTCCTCCTCTTGCTGTCCACCCGCTAAAATGACCATCGGTGGTCCTACACGGGGGCCCTAAATCTGCCCAAGGCACTTGTAGAAAAGTGAAAAAACAAACAAAACACCGTCCACCTCTAACAAAAAAACAAACACTCAGGTAAAGTGTGTATGGTTCGGTGTGTTTCGTTACAACTGTTGTTGGGTGTTCTTTCATTTTTCAGTTTCGGGGACGCAGTATCAAGACCTGCTCCAGCACGGTAAATAAAAGTATACCTCGCGATCTGCGGCAGCCCGCTCCTGGTCGACGTGCTCGGCGGTGCTGTAGGCATCTCTCCCCGCCCTCCTGGGTGGTGGAGATGCGTACGGCGGCGGCGGCGACCGCAGTGAAGGAGGCGAGGCGGCGCCCGGCGGGCGGGGGGGGGAGCCAGACGCAGGGGCACGGTACGGGGAGAACACGCCTGCGAATAATCTCCCGCTCCCCGCGCCGCTAATACCGCTGGCGTTGCCACCAACGCGGGCAAGCTTCGGAAACCTTATTCCTCTCCCGCTGCCGCCAATATCACCTTCACGTTGGGCAGTGTTCGAAGGGCTGCTGCTGCTGCCGCTGCCGCTCTTGTGATTGTTGCCCCCGTTTTTCTCCTCTGGCGGGCGGAGCACGAAGTAGTTTAACACCCTTCGCCTCGTCTCTTTGTCGAGAACCCCGGGAGGCCTTCTCCGTCCTGCCTCCTCCGCCTCCAGCCTTGCTTCCTCCGCTGTTCGTTTCGACGAAAGGAGGGGGGCAGAGAGAGCGTGCGTTGCGGGTGTCTCTGCCGCTGCTGCTGAGGGGCTACACTATACTAAGTAAACGAGAGAGTAGACCTACGCCTTGCCATCAGCAAGGGCGTATCGTCAACATCTGGAGATGTAAATTCCGACCAAAAAAATATATGATTGAGTGCTCTTGTGTAGTCTCAAACTAGGTGTATACCCCCGTCCTTGCAGTGTTAAGTTGCTACTGCTGCTGCCGCTGCCGCCGTTGCTGCCGTGACTTGCCTGCTAGTCGGGCGGTTTCGACCCTCTGCCGCCGAATGAGAACCCCACAGTAGGCAACGGACAGGACGAAGATGATGACGCTGCCCGGGTGCATTCTCCTCCCGTTCATCAAGTCGCTCGTGATGAACACCAGGGAAAGCTGACGATAAAGGAGCACAGGTGTTGCGCCAAGAAAGAGCCGGAAAAAAAATAAGTTCAATACTCCACATGTACATGCTATTGGTAACACTATGCCATACGACTGCCATTACCTAACCACAACATAAAGCAGAGCCGGAGGGTCCATGTGCGCCGCCATTGCCTCTCGCGCACAAGACCCTGAAAGCCAGCTTGGTTCGGGCAGGAAAGACTGTCGATATCCCCTTGTCGTGGAAGGAGATGAATTCCGTTGTGTGTCGGAAAGAAAACAAACAAAAAATACCACAATCGTTTCCTGGATCGTTGCACAGAAAACCGTTTTCATGGTTGTTTTCAGAAGAGCAGAAGTTACTTCATCATCCTGTAACTGGGAGCCCAAATGGGGACACTTTGGCTGACACACCACTAAAATGCCCGTTTACCGCACCATGGTCGTCACTATGTGTTATGCTCATGCTCCGCTGCGTGAAACGTGTGTGGGAAACCTTGGTCTAGCATGCTTGTGTGAGGTGGTACGCTGTCGTGTGATGCCTGTGTGCCTCTCCTGGGCCTCTGACTTGCTGTACAACAATGTCCCCAAGCCGCGTGTCTCCTTGTTAGTAAAACTGTACATAGCCTACTGTAGAACTGGAAAAATTAAAGTTTTGGTAATATTACTGGAAAAATTAAAGTTTTGTTGACTTTGCTTCAGAATAGAAAATGCCCCCATTTCGTTTGGGGACACTTTCCATACTGAAGCCGAGTCAGCCTCGGCCCTCGGGACTGTACAGTCTCTCCCAATGAGCGAACGCGATATTTTCTGGACCCATAACCTCTAACTATCTATTTGGGTACTACTGTAGGAGGGTAAGGTCACTGAAGGACTACCCCCTCAAGACGCAAGACGGGTCTCAAAAAGGGGTGCGCTGGAGTCCTTGCAGTGACGGTTCAGTCACTCCGGCCGCGATAACAAAATCCTACAGCAGCACCATTATCGTAGTCTTATTTGACATTCCCTTTGCTTCCGGCGGGGGAAAACTGCTGTGCGGTTACAAGTGTAATCTCGACAATTTACCCGCCGCCCAACATGTCTTTGGTGACGCTCATGCATGTTTGGATGTAGTCGTTCCCAACACGATCATGATTTTTTTTAGTCTACTGCTCTAGCGCTCCTTCCTCCTACCGCGACCCTCACCGAGGCCGCGAATCCAAGGCAGAACACTATCATCTCCTTGCGGTGTGGCCTTCTGCCTTCGGCGACCAACAGGAACAGGGCGTCGTCGAACCCTATCCGCTGTAACCCTAACCCCTCTCGGTCTTCTGACGGTGCTGCTGCTGCTGCAGCTGCTCGTTCAGTAGCCTGAACCGGAACCAGGGTGGCCTCGGGACGGGCCGCCACCCGAGATGACATGCAAGGAGAGCGTGTACCCGACTATCAGGAGGCCGTCTGTTGACGGACAGTAAGAGGAGGTGGTGTGCGTTGTTGTGAACAGAGCAGGAGGTCAGAATTTCGAATATAGAGTCAGCGCGACACAAGCGGGGGGGGGGGGGCATGCATGCGAACAAAAAAAGGGAGAGCCTGTTCACCGCAGGGGAGATGCGGCTGCTCAGGGAATCGTAGAAACACCTGCAGCGTCTGCTAACGCTTATGAAAGCATTGCTAATTCATCGCGGACTCTTCTCTGTGGACAGGGAGAAAATATTCGTTGCTCTTTGTTGAAGATAAAAAAAAGCAAGTGACCACACAGCAGTACAACTGCTGTAGTATACCGCAACACCGCAACACGATTCCGGGAGCGGTGGGATGCATCAACCCGATCGGGGCTGCTGCCGTCTACACCCACAGCAATACCATTCAAATAATGAGGCACGGCACCGGTGGTGCCTGGAGCGGAACTGGGCAGTCTAAGGGGTGGTGATTCAACACACGGACACAGCATTCGCTGCGAAACACTACCGCAGTAAGACATACTCTTGCAACATGTTGCCTCTGCTGAATTTCAGCAACATCAGGACACACCAGCTGTTTTCTGTTTTCCCTTCCGACAGAACGTGCAAACAGCGTTGCCAGGCAACCCCCCTGCCAATATCGGCGCATTCAACACCTCTCTTCCCACACATACCTTCAGCACACAGCGCGTAGGAACTTGGCGTGGAAAGGACATGGATGTGGTGCTGTGCCACTGCAACTGCTGTTCAGAGGGGGCCAGCAGACCGGAAAAATGACGGCTGGTGGGTAGGTTTGTTAGGTTTCTATGTGATCACCCGCCGAGAGCAGGTGGGCGGCGACGTCTGTCCGTCCCCGCCCAGCTCAGAGAGGGGAAACACCGCACAGAAAATGAAGGTGCGCACGGGAACGCTCATGTTGGGTGGCTTGGTGCGCCCGGCGCAGTTGTAGACGGCAAAAATAAAAGAACCGCGCGGCGAGTTTGCCGGCAACGATAAAATACAGTAAACTGCCCACGGGTGTGGTAACCCGCCGCATCTATGATGTTCCGGAGCGTGATAGCTCTGATGTGTTGACGCTGGTGCTGTGATAGCTGTTGTGATGGCGTGATAGCCTAGAGGCGTGAAAGCCTGGCAGCGTGATAGATGGTGGATAGGTAGTATGGGCACGGGCGTGATAGCCCAGGGCGTGATAGCCGGGAAAAAGGAAGATGAATAAATCAAGGGCACGTGGCCAACACCGTTGCTGACACGCATACCCAGAAAACAATAATATGTGGCAAAGATGGTACCACCATTCCCCCAATTTATTACAACTGCGGAACCCCCAAAATCCCCCGCTCCATCTTCTAGGAACATTCCTCGGTTGCAATAATCTGTCAATGCTGTGAGTACATCCAACAGCCCCCCTGCTCGCTGCATTGTCAAGATTATACCCGAACTTGCTTATATTATGCATCACACGAAACCCATCCCAAAAACTCCAGAAATCAATGTCATTGTGCAACAGTCGTTTCTCCTCCCATCCTCTTGCAACAACCATAAACCATTAAACCAGAGAGACTAGTTCGAACTTCCATTTGTCGCAAACGAACCAGAAACACCTACTACCAGAATCTCCATCGGTCTCCATTGTATCCAGGAATCTCCAAAGATCAAAACATTCACTAAAAACCATTTAAACCAGAAACACTTGATTGCAATTCCCATCGGTTCCAAACCATTAAACCAGGAACACCACCAACAATTTCCATCGGTCGCTCATGAATTTCAAATTCCCAATATCAAATCATCCAAAACTCAAATCGTGGAAACAACCGCAATGGGTTATATCAGGAACAAATGAAAACGAACACAAATGCAAACACATCCAACACCGTCCGGGACAAATCACTTTCCGAGGAGACTTCAAATCCACACGTAGCACAAGAATCATGATTGCACAAAAATGCTCGACTCCACAATAATACCTCATCCTCATAACAACACGAAGACCATTAATACAAAAAAACCCTTTCGAGTATTTTCTATCGGCCAATCTTGAATTCAATGTCCAACAAACACGATGAAATTACAAACCAGAATACCTCAGCAACATGGGAGCAACACCAAACCTGCCTCAGAAACAAAATCTCCTTGAAACATGTGACATCGCTACGTGCCCTGCCTGCGTGGTTGACAGCGCGAGGTACATTGGAGTCATGGAGTGCTACAAAGATAGGCCCCCCTTCTTCTTTCATTATTTTTCCTTAAACACAAACAAACCTCCGTTCGTTCAGTTTCCTACAATACCTTTTATTTTCTTCCTGCATACCCTACCCATGCATGTCTGGCTGCGGCCCCCCTTCTCCGAACACCAGACGTGAAGGGATCAACCCTCTACTTGATAAACGCATCTTGTGACATTTGGGTACTGGAAACAACCCCAAAATCGCAACCTGCATTGTCAAATCCCGAACTCTGCAAATCGAACATCGAAAACAGACGAAACATTCCATTCTTCGTAACATTGCTGTAGTTAATTGTCATGACACACCAATTCCCCCCCCAATGACAATTGACAACAGCATCGAAGACATAGCATTTTATATAAATAGAGGGGTAACCCCTGGCCGATGGTACATGGAGAGGCGCGCCAAACACACAGGGGACAACAACAATGTAGATAGAGCCTTCTACCTAAAAAAAATGCCACACGCAGAAGGAAAAAACAAAAACAACAAGCACAACCATAGTAGCGGCCTTCGCGACATGGCCGCAAGGATTCAAACCAATAACCCTATTCCATCATCATGATCCTTTCTGAACAGTTTCAACGCAGCCTTCATGCCGTCAAATATTCTTGCAGGTGCAATTTCAATCGCAAAATCAAATCCGAAAGAACGCCGAAACAAGCCAAAACCAAAAACCAACCAAAAAAACAATTCCGGATCCACAAACCCGCATACATCTGTCACTAAACCGCCGTTGCCCGTGGTTTCCATCCCCGCTGGGCGATGCATCCTTCTCTGGAAATTATCTCAAACCGTCAACAGCACAGAACCATTCTCAGACAAATACCAAACAAGCGGCAGCGCTGCATCAGAAAAACATCGGAATGGGGACGGACAATTCTGAGGAAAACAGCTTCAAAGAGTAGGCACAAAAACTCAAACGAAACAATGTTACAATTTCTTGGACGACAGAAACGAGTATTCGGAAAGCACATAGGCCCTAACAATCACTCCTGCCAACTCCTTGCTCCAGTATAGTCGTTGAGCACCAAACTAAACAGTGCGCACACGCAAATCGGTGCCGCCGTTGCTGTCCACGAAACGGATAGAAAACTAAACAAACATATAGACAGCCCCCCGCTGTCACATCCCGAAACATACCCCTTACATTTCCAGAGTTCATGCAAGAACACTCCGCGAATATCAAAATGCCAACTAACAAACATGGAGACAGCCCCCCTGCAAAGGTAGCTGTTCATATGGGGAAACAAAAACAAATCGATTGCTGTTCATGCCCTCTAGAATCATGGTCACACATGACATCCCCCCCCCCATGATTCTGGATGTACATAAAAACAGCAACAAAGAAGAAAAAACCAGTGCAAAAGTAAAACGCGCTGCCAGAAAGAAAGGCAAAAAAAACTAAACTAAACACGAAACCCACATTGTTAGATCAGACTCGATGTCGTCGCGCGATGCAAGGCGCGTCACGAGCCCAAACGGAGTGCCCCGCTCGGAGGGGCGACCCCCAGCAGGTTGTTCTTGATCTCCCACATGCACCCCTCCCAAACATCCTGTTCTCCACCGCCCTCCATCTCGTCGCCCCCCAGCTCGCCTTCCCCCAGCTCACCGGTCCGTATCATCCCAGGCCAAATCATCGGCTTGCCGTTCAATACGCGCCGTCGGAGATGGATGTGGTCCATCGGCCTCGGAGGTCGGCACCGATTTGCGTGTCGGCAACGGCGCGGCGGTAGTAACAGCGGCGGGCAGCGGAGCGGCGGTAGTCCTCGTCGCAGTCATCCGCGGGTCCGGCAGCGCGGCGACATCCGGCGAGGATGCAGGCGGCACGGGTGCCCCGGGACTTGGCGGCAGCGGCGGTGGTGCGGCGGCGGCGGCGGCGGCGGCGGCTGCAGGCCAAGGCGCAGCGGTGGCAGCGGGCTGCGAAGCGGCGATGGCCCCGGGTCCCAACTCCCTGGGGAGGGTGTTCCCTTGTTGCTTGGCAGTCAAACTCAAAACGGGTTGGGGAAAGTAGCCAGCGCGGTGGTGGAAACCGTCAACATCCATTTGTTCGGCACGACCCAACACAGCCACATCACACTTAGACGCAACACCTTCCCTCGCATCAAACATCCCCGCTCTCGTCCCCGAGTCTCCCTGCAACTGCTCACCACCTTTGGGTGTTGACATCCTAGTGTGCCATACCGGGGCTTGAAAGGTCACAGCAGGCTTCACCACAGGAACCACAGGAACATCAGGCACAGACATACCAGCAACGGGAACACCAGACACCTCCCCATCACTAACAACTCTAATCTCATTTCCAGACACAGAATCAGACTCGCCTAGAGAATTCACACTACGTGTGAGGAAGAGACGAAGAGGGGCGCCACTTGCTGGAGGAGTGTCGCCCGGAGGTGGAGAGGGGGTCGCCGTCGAGGAGGCAGAGGTCGTTGGATTAGCGCCGATGTACTGCTGCTGCTGCTGCTGCTGCTGCTGCTGCTGCTGCTGCTGCTGCTGAGTCGCCGGCTGAGTAGCGGTGCTAAAGGCCTCGTTGAAGACTCGCTGCTCATCAGCGTCGGGCCCTGCAGAACGGGGACAGAACGGGCGGCCCCGACCCCAGCTTGCCCCTTGGTCGAGTTGGTGCAGCTGCTCTCGATATGATCCGCCCGACAAGCGCCCCGATTCTTGCCCCCCGGCCTGAGGAAAACCTGGTCCCCGCATACCGTCCCTCTCGCGAATGAACGCCATGAAGTCGTTGTAGTGGAACAAGAAGTCCTTGCGAAGTTTATGGCAGTCTGGGGTGTTGTGGGAGGAGTTCGCTCCGTGAACCTGGCAGAAGAAGGCACCTCTCTGCTCATGAGATGGTCCGCCATCCGCTCCCGCAGCAGCTGCTCTCCTCATGCCGCCGTCCCGGCCTGCGCCGGCAGCGACGGGCGCATGCCTCGTGTCCTCGATCCCCTCCCCACACCTCCGTTTGATCCTCTGCTCGTGCTCGACCAGCCTCAGCGTCTCTTCCAGAGTACCTCTCGAAAGCATGGGGTGGAACAGAATACGGTCTTTGACATCCGTCGTACATTGGGAGCAAGCCACGTGCAAAGTGTCTCGACATTAACGTCTCCTCTCGATTGTCCCCACAAGACTGTAATTGCATCCACACAGTATTCGCCCTTCCCCAGTAGTCGACCAGAGTCTCTCCATGCTTCTGTCTAAGGCAGTTCCAAGTGCCGTCCAGGATTTCTCTCTCATGCGTCCTGTTTGTAGTGTAGTAGGACTGAAACACTCTCCACCCTGCTTGTGGACTCTCTGAAGCTAGTATCTGGTCTAGTATAGGTTGAACGTTGATTTTCGTGATCAAGCACATCCAGACTCTCGTGGCCTTTCGAACACTTTCATCGCCATACCTCTGCCGCAACCAAGTCTTATCGACGTGCAACGAACCCACAGGAATCTCTTCTCCTCTCATGATCTCTTCAAGACCCTCTGCATCCATCCACCCTGAGAAACAACTCGTAAAAATTCGGAACGCGACAGTCACACTTCGATCCTTCAAGAAAGCATCATTCCACTCAGGTACTTCGACTCTCTCTCTCAGCTTCAACTCTATGGGCTGGGAACTAGACGTGCCTGAGCGGACGTCATGTCCCGGAGTCTGGGAGGCGAAGTTGGCAACCCGGCGGAGGAGGTCGACAAGGGCGATAGTTGGATCTTGTTCCCCTCCATCCGCGGCTGCTTTCGTTCCTCCCTGCTGGTCCACATCGGGGAGGTTCAACGAACCTCGTCCTTCCCCCCCGTTGTCTTCCCCGTGGGGAGAGGAACTAGTCCCTGGTCCCCGCGGAGGTCTTCGTCCATCTCCTCCAGCCGTCTTATTCGCGCAGACACAGCAGCCACTTTCTTGATCTATTACGCTAGCGTGTTGGGTGGCTTGGTGCGCCCGGCGCAGTTGTAGACGGCAAAAATAAAAGAACCGCGCGGCGAGTTTGCCGGCAACGATAAAATACAGTAAACTGCCCACGGGTGTGGTAACCCGCCGCATCTATGATGTTCCGGAGCGTGATAGCTCTGATGTGTTGACGCTGGTGCTGTGATAGCTGTTGTGATGGCGTGATAGCCTAGAGGCGTGAAAGCATGGCAGCGTGATAGATGGTGGATAGGTAGTATGGGCACGGGCGTGATAGCCCAGGGCGTGATAGCCGGGAAAAAGGAAGATGAATAAATCAAGGGCACGTGGCCAACACCGTTGCTGACACGTATACCCAGAAAACAATAATATGTGGCAAAGATGGTACCACCATTCCCCCAATTTATTACAACTGCGGAACCCCCAAAATCCCCCGCTCCATCTTCTAGGAACATTCCTCGGTTGCAATAATCTGTCAATGCTGTGAGTACATCCAACAGCTCAGATTCTTACTTCAAAATAGGCTGTGTTATGATGACAGCGGAGACAGTCCCCCTGGCATCCCGGTGACGCTGTGTGTTGGTCTGAATGAATCACACCGACCATCGTTACTATTTTTCGTTTACTATTATTATGAATTTGGACTAAACGAGGAACTGCATAGTCGACGTATGTAACTGTTCGTAGAGAACCGATACCTGCGGGTGTTGTCATCAGCAGTCAGCGTGGCCAGGGCACACGCCTGTTGCTCCAGCTAGTTGGATGCATGTGCTCTCACCGCTTGTCTTTGTAACCACAAGAAAAAAATATGTATGAAACTACAGCGTGTTGCAGAGACAACGCTTTTTAGAGCAGTGGCCAAAATCGGGTACACCCAGTCCAAACATGGCCATAATCGGGTACTCCTACAAGATGCTGCTGGGAACGACCGCATGACACCATCTGATTGGCCGACGCCCGCTCCTACCCGACCTTGACCGTCTTTCCACCGGGTGCACCCGATCTTGGCTACTCACCCCCCGGAGGAGTACCCGGTTTTTCTTTCCCCTACCCGAAAATGGCTGGGCTGTTCGGCCAAACCCCACATGCACACAATCACGGTTAGGACGCACAGCGCTGGCCGCTCGTTTGTCGCCAAATGAGAAAGCAGCAGAAGCAGAGAACATCTCTGTCTGTCTATTCGTTAGATGCGTGTCGTGTGTGCTGCATCTCATGAGTGAGGCATTCATCCACAGTCTCTTTTGTCGATCATTTGCACCGACCGCCTGCCTGATGCCGTTTCCCCCACGCGAGAGTTCCACCGCCGGCGGTGGGTCCGCCCCCGCTGGCCGTCAGAACGTCCGAATCGAGGGCAAGGCACTACTTGTGTACATGGGGTTTGGCCGAACAGCCAAGCCATTTTCGGGTAGGGGAAAGAAAAACCGGGTACCCCTCAGGGGGGCGAGTAGCCAAGATCGGGTGCACCCGGTGGAAGGACGGTCAAGGTCGGGTAGGGGCGGGCGTCGGCCAATCAGATGGTGTCATGCGGTCGTTCCCAGCAGCATCTTGTGGGGGTACCCGATTATGGCCGTGCTTGGACCGGGTGTACCCGATTTTGGCAACTGCTCTTTTTTTTATCATGCCCTTCGGCAGGAAATGGGGGGAAAATCGAGCGCGCCGCTCTGTAGATCGGTACATACTGGATACCGGGCAGCAGACACTATTGTGAACACTTGCAATGGCTCTTCGCCGATTTGCCGGGGCCGGACGTGTGCAACGACTTTCGTTTATTTGTTTATTTCGTTTCGCCGAGCGTAAGGGGGCTAAGCAAGCTTTGAAGCACCCGACGCTACCCTCATCGCCCGAAGACTCCTGCTGCTACAGGGACTGGGCTGGATTCGTAATGTGACGGTGAGCCCGCAACACAACTCTACTGCCACAGCTGTACCGTTATGCCGACGATGCCAACGACCCATGACCGAGGGAAAAACGGCAAGCACAAGGAAGGGGAGACGACACAACACCGAAGACAACAACCAACACGATCATCATCACGGCACTCCATCGGTGAAAAATACGCTCCGTGCATAGGACCTACCCGCAAGAGAAGGCCTCCAGCGGGGTTCTCCGCAGAGGACACGTCGTAGATCGAAAGCAGCGGTACTTCCCAAAGAAATTGCGAAGGGACTGGCGCTCTTCACACCCGCCCATGTTTGGCAAAGGGACCGCTTGCTTAGTCCACAATCCGCCGTACTTCTTTGAGTACGGTCTTCTTGCGGTCTTGCGGCGGAGGAATGGGAGAGCCGATAGGCCGGGACCCGCACCATAACAACGACAACCCACATACACAAGGTTTACCTATGCTGGGATAAACCTGCTCAAGGCCCACCAAAAAAGGGCCAGTGTTGTCCCGGCACGACGAAGTGGCGGCGACAACCGGGCTGCAGCCGACATTCGAGGTTGGCACCAGCATTCCTCGCACTCTCTCATAGAAGCACCGCCAGTTTTCACAACACGGGTCATTCCTTGGCCCCGAGGGCCACTTCCGGGTTGGCGCCAACTCTTCTCTCATAGAAACACGGCCAGTCGTTCACAGCACAGGTCAATACTTGGCCCCTAGGGCCACTTCCGGATAGTCACCAAAATTCCTCTCAAATAGAAACACGGCCAGTTCTTTACAGCACACGTCAGTACTTGGCCCCCAACGCCCACTTCCGGGTTGGCACCACCATCAGCCAGCCAGCCATTCATTCATTCATTCGTCATCGTCCATCCCCCACAAGCCGTCATAGCTGTCCCCGACACCGTCCGCTTCTTCTCCGTCGTCCGGTGTCATCAGCCCGGCCACGGTCTCCTCCACTTCGGCCCCTAGTTGCTCCTCCGAGGGTGTCCCTTCCGACGGGCAGAGGCGGGACAACGTCCTGGCCCAAGCCTCCGGGGGACAGCCCCCCCGGTCCGCGATCTCCTGGTTTTGCGGCGCGGCACGGCGGTAGACAAAACCCAAGGAATAGTTATCTTTATTACTCGAAAAGAACTATTCAGCCGGTTTTTCTTCCGTTCAGTGCTGAAAAGACTCCGATACATGCCCGTCGACTGCTGTGGTTTTATCTCGAACGGATAGTATTTCTGTGGTTGAGTGTATATTTTCTAGTAAAACACGCACCAAATCGCCATTCGCTCTGGCGTAGCCACCGAAGACAAGATAGCTGCCTTCCCCCGCCCCCATAAACCTTCTACAAATATTTTCATTCGGTGCAACCTCCTCCCCGTGTCACACATCCATCCGTCTCTCACCGAGATCCACTCTGGTGGCAAGTAATATCTCGCCAGGGGCAGCACCCTTGCCACCTCTTTGACCTCCCGCGGCCGCCAGACCACCCCGCCATCGATCTCCATGACCCACTTCGCCAGGACTTCGTCGTCCGTGACCTGGACAGAAAGAGGGAACCGGGACAACAACAAACGCTTTCTTTTCTTGGTAGGGGGAGCTCTAGGAAGGTGTACCCTTGCTAGTCTGGGCACCGCGGAAGGTGTCTGTGTCAGCTGGACCGGTACGGATAATAGAAGGTACTGAGCGGCGACCGAATACTTAAACGAAAAGACCACAACAACAACAACAACAACTGGGAGTTAATCTTTGCTTGACCCTTGAACGAAAGTCGAGCGAACAATCTGTCTCGACGACCGGGGGAGGGCACACCCGCAGCTGTGTGTGGCTATTTTTTTCTTCGGTGCAACAAAGAGTCAGGAGGGCACGCGGGCCCCACAACTTGTCAGTCCCCCACACTCTCTTATACGTGCAGTGCCTCCAACTTCCGCCGCACCCTGAATACAACAATGATATCACGCCACACGTTTGGACTACATAACAAGCCACAATCCAGAACCTCGCATCGGTAGACAAGGATTCCTGCCTTCGTTGTCATCGCCAGAAGTAAACCACGAAATCAAACAGACTTCGACCGGTGTGCAGAAACACTCACGTTGTTCCCCACCTCGTTAGGCTCAACCCCACCAGCCACAAAACAAATGAGACGAGAAATAGCCAACAAGGCAAACAAAAAAAACAGAATCCACGGCCGCCGGCTTTCCACAACAAGGCCGTCCACAGACAGATCCCGCCCCGGTCTCACAGCACAACCCAATTACAGAGGGGGGGTCCCTGTGTAGTGCCGGCATGTGCCCGGAAAATTCAGCGGCACTACAAGTATACCGGACCGGCACTACTCAAAGTATTGACAATGACTTGGAAATTCAGTGCGTACCCGCCGAAAACACTAAACCGGCACTATATCGGGCATTGGCACCATTCAGCCGGCACTAAACAGGAACCCCCTCTGTATCCCGACAACAACAACAACAACAACAACAACATGTGACGTATGCATCGGGTGCTGCCCCTTCTGCCATTCGCCGTCTTGATGAGCCACTCACGTCCTCGTGCTCGTAGTCCGCCGCAGCCGCGGCCCCCTTGCGGGCCTCCTCGGCCCCCCGTCCCCCCGCGCACTCCAGCGAGAACGCCTGCACCCCTCTCTCGCGGCAGAGCTCGATCGTCGCCGTCGTGGCCGCGCCGTCCCCGGCCCTCAGGTCCCCGAAGTACAGAGACGGAAGCTTCCGCGGAACGGTCCCCGGAACATCGGCGGCAGCGGCCCCCGCCGCCGGTGATTGGTCCACGAGGAGGGCGAGGCGGTCGGCGACTTTGGACCCGTGGCCTCCCACACCGAGGTGGCTCCCGAGGCGAGAGTCTAGCTCGTCGTTGCTGCCGTCTGCGCTACTGCTGCTGCTGCTGCTGCTTTTGGCGGCGGGACTGTCGGCGGCGAGGCTGTCGGCGGGAATGTCGAACGGACTGCCGAACGGGTCATCATCCGCGGGCGTGTCCAGGCCCGTCTGCTCGGTAGGCACCGCCGGTAGCCCCGTCGACTCTCGGGGGGGGGAGGCGGCCGCCTGGTGGGCTTCGTCCCACATCTCAAGGAACAGCCTGTCGTCGTCGAAGTACCTAGCCATGAGTGTTGCCGTGGAACGTCGGTGCGATTGGGGGGGGCAATATTAAAAATCCCTTGATATAGTGCCGGTGGGGGTTACGTGCCGGTGAGGGGCTACGTATACAGCGAAAATAGAGTATTAGCTAACGCGTGCGCAAGCGTGGTTGGGAGCGACGTCTACTCCGGTGGTTGTTATTGTTGGTCGTGTTGGTGTTGGTGTTGTTGTCCAAAGGTAGCGGAGCGGCACGCGAGATGACGAAACAACCGACCAACGGTACTGGCCCTTTCGACGGATCGAGGGATCACAAACGAACCTAACGATACTCATAGGGGAGAAGAAAATGCACATCGGAATTGTAGCTGCGGTCACCAGAACCACCGACGAAAAGATGGGGCTCCGCAGAATCAAGTTGCAGAGGTTTGTGTGTACAGGTGTTGCAGGATCTTTTTTAAGGGATGGGCAGGCAGCACCGCTGATTACTGCCGCGACTGTGTTAGAGAGGAAGGGCCGGCACCACTGCTGACTACTGCCGCGGCTCAGTGTCTCACTCGCCGCTCTCCCTCGCAAGCACTAGCGCGTCCACGGAATCCAGCAGCCTGGTCGCGGTGCCGTCCGTCTCGATGCCGCCGTCGTCCACGCGGCCCGACGCCAGCGTCTCGCTCACCGCGGCGGCTATCCCCCGCCCCCCGGCCACGGCCGAGTTGCTCTCCCCGACGATCATCGTCACGAACAGGTGGTCCCTCTTCACCTGGGCCGGCGAAACAAGGGGGGGGGGGGGCTTACTCATTTGTTGCTTGCCTTAGCCATTTGACCATTGACCACGCGTCCCTTTCGAGACGGGGCGAAACAAGGGGGGGGGGTCGTGACGCAATGCTACAGGTGACAAGACCTGCTGTGCCTTCCGTGCTTGTCCGTGCAGGCGGCGAGGGAGCGCAGGAGGACGAGGGCTAAAAAAACCAGCATGAGAAGGTTGACACCACGGGAAGGCCTCATTATTGTACATCTCGGGAGGCGAGCGTGAGAGGAAGGAGTATTCCTCCGCCAAACCAATACCTCGAAGAAAAAAAGGAGAAAAAAAAAAAACGCCCACGTCTTCTTCTCCCCTCTCGTAGTGATCGCCTCGTTTCAAGTGCGGTATGCTCTTACTCCGCCTCGTTCTCCGCGCCGCCGTTGGACTCCCCGCCCTTCTTCGTGCACATCAACAACAACACACCAACACCAACACCAAAGAATGGGAGGACAACGAAACTCAAGAATACGGCGGTGTCGATACAATCTTCGGGAGTGCGGCGTCCAAGCGCACCAAAGCGCTGAAGGATTAAGTCTACAGCTGTCATTCTCGGCGCAAGAACGGACGACCGACCCCCCCCCCCCACCGTTCGTTCCCCCTGATCTCCGGCCATCCCACCGCCCATTCTCGTCTTCTTCTTCTTCGCAAGCTTATCGCATAGACTATGCCTGACGCTGCCTCCCCTTAGCCGTACAGCCGTACAGCCGTACCCTCCTGTCTACCAGCGTGTTTTCTGATGACACGTGACCATATTCGTCTGGTCATGTCGCTCTCGACTGTCCCTTGCCCACCCACCTCCCTCCCCATCTTTGTCATATCTGCCATCTCTGTCATCTCTGTCATCTCTGTCTTACCACGCCAAACGCCAAGGCCGCTTGTAGCCCCTCGACGGCTTCCTTCACGCCGGACGAGCCAACTTCCAGCACAAAATGCCGCACACCTATCCAAAACAAACGGCACTTGTTGTTAGGGCGGGACTCAGGGTCGGGGGGGGGGGGGGGGGGGGGGACCTCCCCGGGTGTTAATGGGCTTTTTTTTAAAAAAAAACAAGGGGGTTTTTTTTTTTTTAAAAGGGGG